TAAAAAATTCTCTGCACACTTTGGATGTTTCTTATGCCAACAGCTCTACAGCTAACCTTTTACATCTAAGTTTTGAGTCGCAAAGACTGGTGCAAATAACAACATGGATGGAACTGGAAAGCATTATGCCGAGTGAAATAGGCCAGGCATTGAAGGACAAATACCATATGATCTCACCTTTAACAGGAAGCTAAATAACAAAATAAACAAGCAAACAGAATAAAAATAAAGACACTGAAATAGAGAACAAGTGGGCAGTGACCAGAGGGGAGAGGGAAGGGAATTTAAGGGGAAAAATGGGGAGGGATTTTGAGGAACAAGTATGAAAGACACAGGGATGAGGACTGGGGGGGGGGGGAATGGGAGGGAGGTGGGGAGAGGGGGGGGGGGGGCTGAGATGGGAGAAATAGACAAAAAATGTACTTGAAAAATAATTAAATAAAAATTAAAAAAATAAATAAACACGCATGAGTAGAAGGTTAAAAAAATAAAATAAAATAAAATCTCTTAGACTGAAAATAAAAAAGACTGGTGCAAATAAAGTTACCACCCCCCATCTTGCACTATATGAGCCTATATGATCCATTGTTCTGCCCAGCAATGAGCATTGTGCCATTAGCTGAAGAAAACATGCCAAAACCTGCCAGCCGCAATTATGGAAAGGAAATTAAACCAAAAGTGAGGTGTTATTTTAATTAAATTCTTCAGGCACATTTCCTCAAGGTTTGACAAATCCCTACCCAGTTTTCCTTGAGTTTGTCTTCTCAGATGCTGGAGAGTAGCATCAAAGCCTGAAGGTTGGTACCGCTACAAATCTTGGTCACCATCATGGGCTGAGCTGGTCAGCAGACATCCTAGGAGTTGGTAGCCAGCTTCCTCTTCTCACTGCTGCTATTCCACATACACATACACCCGCATTATCCTGACTATCATTCTCAGCAGAGAATCTCATCTACTTGAGTGAAAAAGCAAAGGTTGTGTTGGGTGCAACCTAACCACCAACACCACATTTACCTGCATACACATCTACCCTGGCCTGACTCCCACCTACAACTCTGGGAGAAAGGGGCTTCTCTTTTTTAATCTGGCTCAATCCCCACAGCTCCCGTCCACACCCCCCTATCTCCCCTGGGAGCTTGAACCGTATTTTAAACAGCACCTGTGCCAACAACTCTTTCTCCCCATTCCACAAATATATTGAAGTTTCTGTTGTCCTTTAAAAAAAAAGATAAGCATATAAAAATCCCCCTCTTGTAATTAGCTTGCCAAATATTAATATTTCATAAACCTACAAGAAAGCATAAATTAGACCCAGAGACCACATGAACAGAATAGCTAGCCCAGTCAAGACCCTAGTGCATATAGAAACTCCATATATGGTGTTAAAGGTAAACTGAGGCATAAACTTACATTTTTTATATACCTCAGTTTATCTTCCAACAGTATTAATAGGGATTCATAATTATTTTTGCAATATGTTATCATTCATTTCTTCCGCTGCTCATTTTTATGGTCGAGAGTCCCTTCAAGCTTGCTCCTACATCCATTTCACAGGCCTCCACACCCTTTGAGCATTTTTACGTGAGCTTCCCCACCCTAAAATACGCCAGGCTCATCTTCAACTATCTCTGCTCCAAGCCTAGAATCAGTCAGTTCTCAAAGGAGCTCTGGTTCCCTTTAGTAAGAAATGCAAAGATGTTTTTTAAAATCATGAAATTCAGGAAGTAATGAAATTGACACTCTTTTACGCTTCATGGGAAAACATAAATAAGTATATCCCTCCCAAAATGATTTGATGGATCTACTAAGCATATTAAAAATGTTTACACTCCTTGATCAACAATTCCAACCCCAGCAATCTAGCCTAAGGAACTGATTCAAGTGTAAAATAAAGTACACCTAAATATGTTTGTCACAAGTTATTTGAAACAGTAAAAATAAATAGAAAGGAAACAAATTTCTAACCAACACAAACCAGACGAAAGTAAAACAATCAGATGATGAACAACTATGCAATCATCAGAAATTATCCTTACCAAGACCTTATAGAGTCTTTTCCACTTCACAGTCAACTTTCTTTAAAAAGTTTTCTTGTCTCCAAAACTCCCCACCTCCCATTTGTACTTCAATCCCCTGTCATTTGACTTCTATCAGAATCATTCTGGTTTAATTATTCTTCATAAAGTGCTTTCATGAGATCCTCCTACTTGCCAAAATTATTTTCAGGCTTTGTCCTTCTTGCCGTTTTTTGCTCTCCTTTTTGGAAACTTTTTCTTTGGCTCCCAACAAGCTCCGCTGATCCTGCTAATCCCCAGAGAGTCCTTCTCACTCTCCTTTGGGGGCTTCTTTTCCTCCACCCGGCTCTTGAAGATGTTAAGTATTTCACAGAGTCCTTGCTAGGTAATGTATTAACTTATAGTTTTGATTCTAGTTATTTTGTCTATAAATTTGTTACAGTTGTTGTATAAAAGCTAGCAACATCGGGAGCATACAGAGAGTAATATTATAAGTCAATTCTAGAAATCTACAAAAAAACTATTTTCAATTATGGAGGATTCCCTAGACTACTGGTTTAGGAGACACAGTTTCAGATGCTGAAATTCCCAAAAGTTTTACCTTTCTTCCCACACAGGCTTGGAGCCAAATCTGCACCCCATTTCCAGCTGTGTTTAGAATTTGATCTAATACATTTTGTGATTGACCTCACCTTGGTTCTATGTAATTTCCTACATTTATTCTCTCTTTCTTCATTTCCTTACCTATATTCAATGTATTTTATAACACTACATTGTATATATCTTGAAGACTGCCCTAAATCCTTTGTGGAACAAGAATGACTGTAAATACTCAGTAGTGGGCAAGGGGTAATAAAAAATGTGAGCCCAGTATAATATGGAGTAAAGCTACAACCTTTGAGTAGGTGACTTTGAGTCTCAGATTGGAGGCCCAATGCACCTGTGCTCATACACCTCTATAATAATTTCTACATAAATACATGGAGGTGGCAGCTACTTTCTGTTAATCCACCTCAAAAATCAAGCGCAACGCTATGTATTCTTTCTTCCTTTTCTCTTAGGAAAAACACCAGTGCCCTCTAGTGTGGAAAATGCACCTTGTGTGGTGCCCTAAGGGCAACCTGCGGATCATCCTTTTCAGCGCCCTGGGCGAAGAAAGCTGCTGCAGCGCCTCTGAACTCGGCTATGGCTTTTAATGGTGGAAGTACGTGAGTGCCACCTGCAGGCTGGGAAGTAGAGCGCGCTGGGGCTGGTGTTTGGACACCACTTGCCAAAGGGCACCCTGGACTTTGTAATAACCTAGGGACACGAGGAGTGAGTTTCCAGGCCCACAGTAAAAGCAAACGGGGAGTCAGAGCTCCTTGGACCAGTCCCTTTCCTGGCGCTCCCCAGAGTCTGGAAACACCTTTGGCCCAAAAAAGAGTGATCCAGGCAATGAGTGTGGGCTGCTTTAGGGGTTACTCCACCCGCGGCTAGAATGCAAAGGATTGAACATTTACACAAGCAGGCATGCCACAGTAATTTCCTCCACCTCCAATGACTAGGCCTAAATCAGTTTATCTTCAAAGAGAATAACTGTAATAATCTGATGCTAAAGATAATTTTTAAAAGTAATTTTGGGAACATTAAATCCCAGGAAGCAATACACAAGTATGCTATTATGCTACAAATCACTACCTAAAATACTCCTTTAACACCGTGTTTTCAAGAGTAAGGAGTACACCAAAAAATAATTACCTAGAGGGGCAAATATTTTTTTAAGCCACTGGTTTTTCAAATCCCACATCTTTAGTCTAACTTCTCTGGAACCCAGATAATAATCTCATTATCTTTATTTTCTAATGCAGTGATGATTGGGATTATTTATAGTGTGTAACAGTAGTTGGAATTACAAGTAGTTCCCCCTTATGGAGGGAAGGGGAGATAAATTCCAAGGCCCCCACTAGATGTCTGAAACCATAGATAATACCAAACTTTCTTCCTAAGCATACATACCTATGATAAAGTTTAGTTTACAAATTAGGCACAATAAGAGATTAACAACAAATAAATAGAAAAATAATACAATATACTGTAATAATAGTTATGTGAATGGCTTTGAGGCCATTATTCAGTAAAATAAGACTTCCTTGAACGCAGGCACTGGATGCTGCAATACCGGATATTCTATCTGATTAATGACCAGCAGGCTGCTAAGTTGACTACATGGTATGTAGCTGTGTAGTATACAGCATGTATATGCTGGACAAAAAGATGATTCACTTCTTAGAAGAGACAGAACATGGCGACTGGAGATTTCATTATGCTATTCACAACAATGCGCAATTTAAAACTCAGGAATTGTTTTTCTGGAATTTTCCATTTAATGTTTTCAGGACTGCAGGTGACTGCAGGTAACTGAAACCACCAAAAGTGAAACCGTGGTTACAGGAGAGTCACTGTTTAGGTAAAGACGCTCTAAAGGCCTAGTCATTGGAGGTGGAGGAAATTACTGTGGCATGCCTGCTTGTGTAAATGTTCAATCCTTTGCATTCTAGCTGCGGGTGGAGTAACCCCTAAAGCAGCCCACACTCATTGCCTGGATCACTCTTTCTTGGGCCAAAGGTGTTTCCAGACTCTGGGGAGCGCCAGGAAAGGGACTGGTCCAAGGAGCTCTGACTCCCCGTTTGCTTTTACTGTGGGCCTGGAAACTCACTCCTCGTGTCCCTAGGTTATTACAAAGTCCAGGGTGCCCTTTGGCAGCCCCAGCGCGCTCTACTTCCCAGCCTGCAGGTGGCACTCACGTACTTCCACCATTAAAAGCCATAGCCGAGTTCAGAGGCGCTGCAGCAGCTTTCTTCGCCCAGGGCGCTGAAAAGGATGCTCCGCAGGTTGCTCCCTGAAGTTCAGAAAACAAGCCTTGAACCCTTGCCCCGCCCACCACACTACGATTGGCGCGGGGGCGGGGGCGGGGCTCCAGGAGGTGGGCTGATGGGGCAGGGCCGGGAGGGGACAAAGGCCGCGTAGAGGAAAAGCCTTCCTCGGTGCTGGTCTGTAGGTTTCGCCCAGGCTGAGTCAGGCCGAAACAACTGGGACCCAGCTGGGATTGCCAGTATTTGCACCTGTGAATTTGATCGTGTGAGTGGCTGTGGCGCTCCCCGGTGCATCGCCAGCGTACCTTCTCCTGCAGGTAACCGCGGGCCCCGGTCTTTCGGGGAGGCTCTGAGTACTCCAGTATTTGGAATGGGGAAAAAGGAAGAAAGCTCAGGTCTTGGATGTGGAGGGAGGAGCTTAGCAGCGAGTTCTGGTCGCAAAGAAGGGGAAAAGAAGTCCGGGTATTGCACGCGGGAAAGGAAAATGTGAAGGGAGGGAGTGCTATGTTCCTGGATGTGTAAAAGACCGGCTCTTGGGCTCTGGAGGGTGAAATCGGGCGGCAGAAAGTTGTATACGTTGACAAATGGAAGCCGAGGTCTGCGTGCAAAATCTAGCAGTGGGAAGCTACGAGCATTCGTAGACAGCGACTAAGTCTCGGGTTTAGGGAGAAGAAAACGTGTGGCAATGAGAGCTGAAAGCAAAGGAAGGTGGAAGCAGAGGACTAGGGCGTGTGCCGCCAACTCCCGCAACCCGGGCCTCCGCCAGGGGGGCGCGGAGTGGGAGGAGCTCCAGCACCCGAATGCTGTGGGGGCGGAGTGGGGAGGAAAGAAGAGACCTGCCACAGCAGTGTTCTCAAGTTCTGGGGAAGGCGTTCCCTGGCCGGGTCCCGGCACCCGTTTAAAGGTCCAGCGACGGAGAGGGGAAGGCGTGTGCGTGGAGACCCGGAAGGGGGAACCAGGCCAGTTGCGGTTGCAATCTTCTTGCACTACAGCCAGGGAACGCCCGTAGTGCAAGGACGTGTGCTGGCCAACAGCCTCACGGTCACAGCGTCCCCTAAGGACGTACAAACCCCAAGCCCACCTACCGGGCGACAAACCCGGGACGCACCCTCCATTGTGTGCAGGCAGAGTTATTGGTACTCCTGTAACCTTTATTTGGAAGGTTGCCCACAGACCTGAAACTGCCCTTTGCCATTCTGGGTTCATTCCACAGTCTACTTTAAACCGGATAAACCATGCTATCTAAATCCTCCTGATTGGAGACGTTTGTGTGTCTTTTTATCCGGTTTGGTTTGGGTTTATTTTAGGAGATAAACTGCACTCAGCTGAGTCTACAAAGACTGGGAGGAGTTGGAGTGACTGATTACAAGTTGATCCACCCTGATAAGAATTAGCAATTTCTCCCCTTCCGTATTTTCTTTGGTGTGGCAATACTGCTTTTAATTGGTCCTGGAGATCTTGGAGGCAGGCACTGCAAGAGAAGGAGTCAGGCATATTTCCAAAAGCAAATTACAACTCCTTTCTTATTGTTTGGCAACCCAGTGTCTTCTCTGCAAGAGACTTTTTTTTTTTTTTTGGCCCAGAAATTCTAATTCATGAAAGCAGCCAAAACAAATGGCTAAGATAGGGAGTTGATGCAAATGATATTAAACAGAGTGAGCAGTTTTGGGTTTTTGGTTTTTTTCTTAAATTACTCTGTATTAGTCCAGGTTTATTTTCTGGAATTGCACAAGTGTGTCAGCAGGGTGGAATTCGGCTGCTCTCAGACAAAATGAACTGGCCTGTGGAAAAGCCCTTCCTTCTGAAGTGGGGATTTGGGTGGAGACCAAAATCTGAAAGGCAAGGTTAGACAAGTAAACCCAGCGGGGCCTAAAGCCCACCCCGTGGGTTTCAAATCTAAGAGAAATAAAATAATTTCCTACATTGTAGTAAACCCATAAAGCTCCCATTGTTCAGTTTTAAAAGATAGTAAAATTTTAGTTGAGTGATGTGAGGAAAACCTGACATGTTTCAGTTACTATAAATATAGAACGATTACTGCACAAAACACTTACTTGAACTGAGAAGGAAACAATTAACTAAAAAATAATATCACTCAGTATTGAAAATTCAGGCGTGCTATGTGAACTTCTATTAATTCTCTTTGCCATCAAGGAAAGCTAGCCAAGTCAACTCTTATAATGCAAAATAGGAATGTGGCCATGGAAATGCAGTATTAAGACCAAGATAAGCTTGCTGCCTTTTTTATTTTGTTTTGTGTTAAATACCAGAAGAGATGAGACAGTGGGATCAGCATGACTGAACCATACGCTTTAAGCTGTACTATAAATTATACTTGAAATTACACACGGCAAGTAATTGACTCATCCACACCAGTTTGTTTAGTTTTTTAATTCTAGTGGAGTTCCAGATGGTTGCCCAGGAATGGTCTAGGGAACCTCCTAAACATGAATAAGCAGCATTCTAGAATTTCAAATTTGGGAAGTGAAAAGGGCCTGGGGTAGAAATACATCCTGGCTTGTCACAGAAACTGAGGGTTACTTCTTTAGTTTGAAGGCCAAATGACTTGAGCTCAGCTTTTCAAGTGATACTGTTTACCGGCCTCTTGCCTAATAATTTTTAAAGTCAGTTCTCCATACTTTTGCAGTCCTCAGCTATAAATTCAGGGGAATAAAAGCAAGGGCGTTGCTTTTATTTGCAGTGGTGTTGCTGGGGGAAAAGAATTTCTGTTAGAGCATGATGAAAGGAAATAGACACCTTCAAGAGGCTCAGGGCTTCCTCTGCTTTTGGGGGAACACACATAAGGTGTGGCCTTTAAGCCCCATAGTCTTGCTTCTTCCAAAGGGTACACCCCTGTCCTGCCCTTTTTGAGAATCAGATGGATTTGTATTTGCTGACCCCACACCCTACTCCTCCAAATGACGTCTCTTCCAGGAACAGTTCTTTCATATGCTACATACTGATAGCTTACCTTTCCCCATCGGCAGCCAGGGAAACAGTATGGGAATTGGGTCACTGAGGAAGAGGACAGGAAGGTTGTTGGGTCCTGAGCAGTGGCCTTGTATATGCAGAGTTCATTCACTGAGAAGTCACTTTTGTATTGAGGTCCACATCCTCAGTATCCAATATTCGTCTCTAGGAACACATAGTTCCACCAGGAATTCATCTTTCACTTTGAGACTTACGTTCTTTAAACATAAGCAAAAAGAACTTGTCATATCTCCTCAAAGGTGATTATTGTAACCAAAACAGTCTCTTAAAAGTGAGGAACTATTAGCACTCATCATTCTGCTCATCTTGAGGGCCCACTAAAATGAGGAATTGAATAAAAGTGTCCATGATATTGTGGAAATAATCTTTTATAAGACACAAATAACGATCACCTTACTAAGGGCATGTAACAGGGTCAGGCTGCCTGATGCTCCAGCTGGGTGGCCTTGGGAAAGCTACTTTTCTTTTTATCAAAGTAAAACAGGAAAACAGTTCCCATCCTTCCCGGCCGATGTGAGGGCCGACTCAAACCACAGGTGAAACGCGTGACAATGCTGTATGGAGAGAACGTGCTCAGTTTTAATAGTAAATGTAATTATCATTAGCTCTATATACAGTTGTACTGTTATAAATTGTTCTTTTAGTAGTCATCAGATGTTTGTGTTTTATTTTATACTATTGTAACTGTGCAGAGACTTTATTTCTTTAACTTGACCTTTTGCCTTTCCTGTTGACTCATAGCGGCCTCACTCAGCACACTGATTCATGATCCTCCTTCTCCCTTGCATATCCACTCCCTTAATTAGTAAACCCTCAGGACAGTGAGGTTCTGGTCCGCATTAAACAATCTTGGGAACAAAGCCTCAGTCTTTTGACCACAAGGACAGAGTTTCAGATAAGCCAAAGATAATATCTAGGCCTCAGCTGTGTATTAGCTCCAGACCCAGAAAAGTGGGGACACCAGAGGCAGTGATCCCATGGCTGACATGGATGCCAGGTGCAGTGACCAGTGACCCCCTACCCTAGCACTAGCCAGTCGCAAAGACCGCAGCCCCACCTCCCTTTGTCCTATAACTGATGATTTTTCCCCATACACCTCCAGGAGCCAGGTCTGTGAGCTTTAGCTCACTCGTGGCTCCGTATGTGGGCTGCTTCCTCCAGTAGTAAAGCTGTGCTTTCTCGGCTGCCAACTCTTGCCCCTTTTTGATTGGGCTTTGATGTGCATAGGCAGATGGACCCCGTTAGACTGGCAGTACCGTGTTGGAATAAATGATCAGATGCGTGTCTTCTCTTCTTTTTTTGCTTTTTAAAGGTTTATTGAAGTCAAAATGTCTCAAAAAATCCGTGGCGGTTCTGTGGTAGAGATGCAAGGAGATGAAATGACACGAATCATTTGGGAGTTGATTAAAGAAAAGCTCATTTTTCCCTATGTGGAATTGGACCTTCACAGGTAAATGAATTAGAGTCTGCGCAGCTTAAAGACAAGGATACATTCTGAGAAACGTCTGGTTGGGCAGCTGTGTTGCAGTGTAAACGCCACAGAGTGCACTGACACAAACCTGGGTGGGACAACCTACTGCACACCTTGTCTCAGAGATACAGTGTATTGCTCGGTAGGGGAGGCAAAATAATTTCCCCTCTACCCTTCTGGGCTCTGGGCTGAGACATCCTATAATAAAAGACAAATTAAAGAAAAAAACAAAATTCGAATAATATTGATATGTAGTAACTCTCCAACACGGCTGAAGTCGCCACCTTACATACTGTCTTTAGCCAAAGACAAAAGAAGATGTTGTTGGGAATGGGAGGGTGTCAGTTACATGAGGTTATGGGAAAGGCACTGTGAACAAGGAAAAGCGCTAGGCATGTTTAAGTCTTCCTCTTCTGCCTTCCCAAGATTCTGGAGATGAGGTCATCCCGCTCTTCCTGGTCTACCAGGGGAGAAACCCTTAACACATGGAGACTCCCCTTACAAATCTAAATGCATTTTGCAAGGGGTTCCTCCTACTTGGCTTTTAGAGCTTCTCCCATGTCTGTTGTTTCTCAAAATTAACCAGCCTAAAATAATCCCTATGCCAAAGAGATATATTTCGGGGTGACAAATTCTACCCCCTGCGGCTCCTCAGCTGCACGCCCACCCGGACTGACCACTGTCGGCAGTCCTAACCGTGGTAAGTATTTGCGTTGCACTGCAACATCACGACTGCTAAAACACGATTGGGTGATGGGAGTTTTTCAGCTCCATGAGGATGGTATGGGCACACTGCAAACCCAGGAAGTGTACTCCAAGCGACTGCAGGACATAACGAGCCTTTTTGCATACGTACAGCTGTCTCTTGTGACTGATGCTCTTGGGGGAGAGTGCCTGGATCGATGCTCATGAGTCTTCTGCTTTAAATTCAGAACAACTTCTGCTCATTGTTCAGAAGACAAGAAATATCGTAGGAAAAAATATGATTCTCAGGTCTTTCCAAGCCTCTGTTTCCTGTAAAGGTTTTATTTGTAATAAATCAGTGGCCAAGAGTAGCACGAATATTGTTCATAGAAGGGAAAACAGTGGAGGTACGTCCTCTGTGAAACGGTCAATGTGGTTGACACAATTTTGTCCTTTCTAGCTCGATTTTCTATCCCTGCACTTAGATAATGGGCCTTTTCCCTTTTTTATTCCTTGCCTTTTGCTCTTTTCATACAGTTGTACAGAAAGAACCCTTCAAGTTATTTAAATAAAACACTAATCTTTCAGAAGTTCCCTTAAACCATTTCTGGCCTAAAGACTTGAGCCTTTGCCCTGTGTTTAACATCTTTAGAAATATCTTTAGATATGAAAGTCACTGTGGAATTCTCTCATTTTTTTTTCCTGCGTTTCTCATGAACTAGCTTTTTTTTTTTTTAGATTTTATTTACTTATCTTTAGAGGGGAAGGGAAGGAGAGAGGGACAGAAATATCAATGTATGGTTGCCTCTCATGCATCTCCTTCTGGGAACTGGCCTGCAACCCAGGCATGTGCCCTGACTGGGATTTGAACCTCGATCCTTTGGTTCACAGACCCGTGCTCAATCCACTGAGCTACACCAGCCGGGGCATAAACTGGCTTTTTTTGAATATTCAAACTAAGCAGAGACAGAATTTTTACAAGGGGGAAATGGCTGAAGACTGTCACATTTTAGCCAAACTACAGGCAATTGTAGGTGTGTTCACCTTGACCCAGAATTATTCAACAGTCTGTCCTGAGGACCTGTTGCATTTGCTTCGGTGGTCCAGGGGTGTACAACCTTTGGCATCTCTGCACCACACTGGAAGAAGAACAGTTGTCTTGGGCCACACACTAAATACATTATGACATGTCACCACAAAAAAATCGCATAATATATTAAGTAAATTTATGATTTTGCATTGGGCCGCATTTGCAGCCATCCTGGGCTATGTGTGGCCTGCTGGCTGTGGGTTGGACACCCCTGCTGGACATTTAATGTACATGGTGTCAATAGACCCCCTTTCTAATTATTCGGTGGTCAAGCTGTTGATGATATCTATATTACAACCAGGAGAAGGAGCAAATACCTGCAGGGGTCAACAAGACATCCAGGGAATGAAGCATAAAAAGCATCATCCAAGTGGCTTAAAGAATTTTTACAAGTACTCACCTGTTTCAGAACTTTATGTAGGCGAGTTGGCAGAGTTCTTTAGAACAGCCTAGAGGCATAAGGAGTTTTAAAGGACCGCCTCAGACCTAGAAAAAAGTCTCATGGGCCACAGACCAAGGGATTTTTGGAGGCTCAAGCAAGCACTAGGTTGTTCTAAAATTGCTGTGATTACATGACGGGGTTCCGTTTGTTTTCTGCGGGCTAGACAGTGGTCCGGGTCATTTATTCTTTGTTTTCTCTTAGAAATGTTAAGAAAAGAAGCAGAAAATCCATGGATTTGCTGCTAGTTTCTCCTCATGGCAAATGGTTCCTAAGAACATGAAAACTGCTGGCATGCTTCCCGTTTGAATGAGGAGTAAACATTTGTAGATACTCAGCACTTTCTCTGCCAGAAGATAAGAGTCAGTGCTGTGTCAGGCTTATGTGAATTATCTGAGGTCAAGGTCCATAATTCTTTTTATTTGGAAAGACATTAAGATTCCCATCCTTCTATTTGCTTCATGAGCTGGGACATTAAGGAAACACGAACAGTAACAAGAGAAATCTAGAGGCTTCATAGTACAGCAAGTTATGTAAGCTGAAGAACTTTTAAAACTTGGAGGACAAAATAGTCACATTACTGCTTTGTTTCTCCTATTTCCAACAAACTGTTTGATACTTTAGATAAAGATTTACAGTCGTTGTCGATGCTCCGAACAACCAACATTCTTTTCAGTGCTGGATAACTTGCAGTCTGGGTGCTGGTGTGTACTGAGCTAGCTCTCCAGGGTACCTGAAACTGCTGCTCGATTCCATTACCTACCTGATAACCCGCAGGTCTGTGTTCAGAACAGAGAGACTTACCCAAGACTTAGGGAAAGGTTCATCATAGGACTAACTGGCAGGAATGAAGGGTTCGTTAGATTTTTGGCACTGAATGTCACATCTGTAACTCCCACTGCTTTAGTTGTCAAAATACAAAAAAAAAAATTGAACCCCGAAACCCCTTTACTTTTAGAACCCAATATTTACTAAAGAAAAAATGCAGTGTTTAGGCCTGCGTTTTTGTGTGAGTTATGTGGAAGGAAGTCTGCAAACGGGTTGTCTGGTGCTGTCATTCTCTGTGTACGGTGAAAGCAGACAAGGGCGCCAGGCCTGAGGGTTTCTGTTCAGTTTCCTTCCAGACAGCTTCCCGCGGCAGCCTCAGAGCCGGGGCCCAGCAGTCCTGCCTCCCTGGCTTTTTTTTCAGTTGGCAGCCACCATCGGTGTCTAGGGTACGTGAAAGCCAAAAACTTGGCAGATTTCCGTATACTGAGAGATAAATAGAGAGGCAGCACCCTTGGTTGCCTATCAGTTTGTTTGGAAAGTTCCACTTACGATGTCTCCCTCCCAGCTATGACTTAGGCATAGAGAATCGTGACGCCACCAATGACCAGGTCACCACGGATGCCGCAGAAGCGATAAAGAAGTACAACGTTGGTGTCAAGTGTGCCACCATCACCCCTGATGAGAAGAGGGTCGAGGAGTTCAAGTTGAAACAAATGTGGAAGTCGCCAAATGGTACCATCCGAAATATTCTGGGTGGTACTGTCTTCAGGGAAGCTATTATCTGCAAAAATATCCCCCGGCTTGTGACCGGATGGGTAAAACCCATCATCATAGGTCGTCACGCCTACGGGGATCAGGTAGGTCACGGAGTAATTTGATTTCCATTCTCTGTTCACACCTTTGGTTGCCCAGCAGTTGTGATTGTGTGTGTTGGGCTCTTCTCTTCTGGTGACTACTTCCGTTAAATAAAGTGCACAACTGAGAAATGCGTATATCTGTATATTTACACAGTTAAACAGACGTAAATACAGAAAGACTCACAGAGAAGCACCCGTCTCAACATAAGTATTTTTGCCTTTTAACTTTTTATTATGTTAAAACACATACTATTAACATTTTTTTTATGGATAATTTCCTGTGGTTCAACCAAATCAGTAGTTGTTGACCCTGGTTCTAAAAGATTCTAAAAATCTTTATACTTTTTTTTTTTGGTGTTTGTTTTATTTTGCTTTTTTTTTTTGTAATGTGTTTCTTTGTTTTAATTCCAATGCCTGAAACCCACCCTACACCAACTCAATCTGAATTCCGTGGGATTCGGGCATTTCAAAGCTCCCCACGTGATCCCAATGTACAGGCAGGGTTGACAACCACATAGATTATATGAAATGTGATCATACAGAAAAGGAATAACTGACTCAGTAGTTGAAAGCGGCCACTTTAAAACTGTCCTTTCCTAGTTGGAAAAGAAAGTTTAGTTTCTGTATTTCTGTACAAGTAGGCTGATTGCCAGATGAAACAGAAAACCAGCCAACTAGACAAAATCAAAATTCCTTGTTGAAACTGAGGCGTTCGGACTTTCATAGAAAGCACCTTATGTCTTGAAAGACCCCGAAGAACAAGAGTCCCTAATTCTGAAATCCAGAGGCTTCAATGTAGCTGTCCTTAAAAACAAGCAGGCCAGGGCAGACCACCCACTGTTCCTGGGGACGGAGGTCACTGGGCAGTCCTTGAGGGGTCATTCCCTGTGCTCTGTCCTGTGGCTCAAACTGTCCCTTCATCCTGGCCGGTCCCTTCCCTGGTACCTCCCAGAGGCCCAGGACAGGAAGTGTGGATGGGAGTCCTGCAAGCATCCTAATTCTGGGAACCCCACTCATGAGTTCTTAGGAGTTCAGCAATGTCATTCTTGTCCTTTTTTTAAAAAATGACTGTTTTGGCACCAATCATCTGGAAGAACGATCCTTCTATTTATTAAAGTCCAGATTGAAAATTTCAAGCCTCCAGTTGGTTCCCTGATTGTTGGAATGTGCATAAATGTCCGCAAAGCATGTAGATTGCTGCAGTGCCTCGATTTCTTCCTTTCGAGGACTGAAAATAGACGACCATGATAAAGGGCTTGGAATGTCAGAAGTGTTCTGCGTAGAACAGACACTGAACCTTTATTACCTGGCAGCTCTGTTACCAGCTGTCGTTAGTACCGCTACACCCAAACAACCAAAGGCATGGCCGCCATCTGCTGCTCCCTGACCGAAAGTAGTCTTCGCTGAGTCAGTAAGAAGGTACAATGCAGCAGAGATTTAACAGATGCCCAGTGCAGGCTGGGCACAGTTTTCCGCTGGAGTAGCTTCACACCCGTGAGAGAGATGGCCCTTCTCAGAGGGCCCTTTCCCAGGGGTCATCTACCTGTCACAGCTGCTTCCAGAATGGATTCCTAGAGACAAGTTCTGGGCTGGGCAGTAGTAGTGATGATAACTATGAACAGACTAAGCTCTGAAGGTCTAAGGGCCAGCTCTTAAGCCTTCGGACCCTAGATAGATGCCTTGTTTCCACAACATCCCAGTTCCTTCCTTGTAAGACTGTTGTAAGAATCAAATGAGACAGTAAGATGAGACTAGTTGATCGCTCAGAGCATCTGCCCTATAGCGAGGACAAGGCATTTGCTCTTTCTTCATCATCTTCAGTACTACAACCAGTGCATCATCGCCTCCCTATAGGAAGACTTCCCTGACCTCCATGTCATGTGGCTTCTCTTCCTCTGGCATCGTCCCAGCATCGTTCATGCCCACTTTGATGTTTGAGAGCTCGTTCTTTGCTTTTCACTTTCGTATGTCTGTCTTATGTTGTAAGCTTCCTAAGGGAAAGTGCTTTGTTAATTCTTTCTCCTCTCCGTGTCACAGCTCAGAAAACCTCTGTGCTTGGTAGGCACCCAGTTAACATTGATTTTTCACCTGCACTGCCCTGCCACTCATTAGTTTCAGGAACCTTCTGGACCTCTTTGTCCCTGTCTCTAAAATAAAAGAAGGTCAGTCTACACTTTCCTGTTTGTCTAGGTGTCTTCCAGCTCTGCTCTATAATTCTTTCCCCATTCTTTGTAGTACCTGTTAGAATAGTTGTTGGTTTTGTAATACCTTTCCCTCTCATCTACACAGTACAGAGCAACTGATTTTGTTGTTCCTGGGCCTGGGAAAGTAGAGATAACCTACACACCAAGTGATGGATCCCAAAACAAGACATACCTGATACATAACTTTGAAGGTATGTAATTAGAGTTCATCATGATCATTTTTATAGATATTTGGACAGTTATTCTGGTTGTTTAAAGTTAGTTAGTTGTGTGGCTGTCTAAAAGTACAACCTGAATCTATAACGTTACTACAGCTAAAATCTAAATTAAAAAAAATAATTGGTTTCCGGGTTTCCCTGGCATGAATAAAGGCACAGAACAGATTAGCCACTTAATTGGAAATGCATGTAAGGCAAAGACAAGTTGATAATTAGGCATTCCTCTTACAATACAAGGGGAAGGTTGGCAGGGATCTGCTGTGTACAAATAATGTAAATTAAATATTCGTCACTCCAAATCCCTTGTCACATAATCCTTCTCTTTGCTCTAATAGAGTTTAAATTTATAAAAATGGTTGTGTTATATACATTTGCTGAAATATTCTTACCCATCATCCTGCTGCTTTGAAAGGTCTGTTATAGCAAATTCCACTGAGAACAGAGGACCCTCTTTTTCTACTATCGAAGTAGAACAGCACTCACACAAACAAACAAACATTACCTAGCTTTGTTTTCCTTGACTCTTCTAAATAATATATAAATGGAACCTAACTCTGCGGGTTCCAGCACCTTTCGCATTCTAAGCAGCAGTTGGCCCTGGGCATTGGCATGGATTCGAGCCCTGTCTTTCAGTACTAGCAGAGGTCAGCCAGCAAGAGTTGTGAAACACCAGTGATTGATTACATGTAGCATAACTTTTTCTACTGATGACAGAGTGGCCATTCAGGATCCTCCAGGGAACCGGGAAAACTTTCATTCTCTGGCTGAGGATTGAGTGCACACTTAGAGTTTAAAATACATATTTGAAAGTTTAAAAGTATGACAAGACAGTTTCAGAATTACTGTACTCACCCTTTCTTGAGTGTATTTCTAGTTTATATCAGTAGTGTTTGCTATTTCAGTATCTTCAGGATCCTAAAAACCGTATTTTTCTCCTGTCGGTTGAATGCCCTCTCAACCCAAGTTAGGATGCCCTCATCTGGGACTGACCCCCCTCCTGTTAATGTGCTGCAGAGACTCATGGAATGTTCAAGTTGGAGGCCTGGCTGGGACTTTCTGAAGCCTGGGCTTACCCATGGGAGCTGAGAATGGGGTGGCTTCGTGGCAGTGGATGGGTTTGAACTCATTACAACTATACCCCATTTACCTTTCTTTTTTCCTCTCTCTCTCTCTCTCTTGCTGGTGTCCCTGCAGAGGGTGGTGGTGTTGCCATGGGGATGTACAATGAAGACAAGTCAATCCAAGATTTTGCACACAGCTCTTTCCAGATGGCTCTGTCTAAAAGTTGGCCTTTGTATCTGAGCACCAAAAACACTATTCTGAAGAAATATGATGGGCGTTTTAAAGACATCTTTCAGGAGATATATGACAAGTAACTATATAGGGTTTTTTTCTTCTTTTTCTTCAAGCTGGCATTTATAATATAGAATTTGTACCCTTAGCCTTTTGATTATGGGACAAATTGAGTGAAAACCATCTCTGTTCCTTAAAGACAAGAACAAAATAGATTTTAAAAAAGTGAAACAAAATCACTCTAAGTTGCTTTTCAAAGGTAAATGTGTTCCCCACTAAGACTCTCACGTTTTTCTTTTTTCAGAGCCAGAATTATGTATTATTTGAAGAAATTACCCTGTTAGTGATAGAAGGCTCTAATTTTCCAAGTGTATGAATGAGTTTCTGAGTTGGGCCTATTTCCATTCTTCCTAAAACCCATTGTTGTGATTTAAAACTCTGCTCTAATGTCCTTTCTGGAACCAAAATCTACATTTATAACGACTTTAGATTAACAACACGTGAGCATGCGTTAAATTTTAAGATAGCATAGCTCCCTTCTGGGTTCGAGTGTTCAGGCCAGGGTATAGATTTCTGTCTCTTTCATGAGGCATTTTAATTCCTCTTCCCTCTGCCCATCTGTCTGAAGCCAGGAAGCTGCCCTAGTTCTCTGAATGATATCAAGCAGAATAGTCTTTTCCCCCCCTTACTACATTCTTAACGTAAGCTGGATCTCAAGAAGCTGCTCAGTAGTATTTTGAAAACTGGTAAAGTAGGACTTGGGAAACTACTGCCTCACTTAATTCTCACATCTCCAGACTGGGTAGAATCACCCTTACAAAGGGGAAATTGGGATGTCACAGCTAGAAAGTGATTGGACGGGGAGTTGAACCCATGGATCAGGTTCCCAAGTTTGTGCCGCTCCTACTAAACGTGCTGCTTCCGCCCCACCCTTCCATCCCCTCTTTGGAAAAGCATATGATGTCCCCAACAAAGCCAATTTTCATCTTTTTGTTGTTATTCTTTCTTCTTTCTCAGGCAGTACAAGTCCAAGTTTGAAGCCCAGAAGATCTGGTATGAGCATAGGCTCATTGATGACATGGTGGCCCAAGCTATGAAGTCAGAGGGAGGCTTCATCTGGGCCTGTAAAAACTACGACGGCGACGTCCAGTCAGACTCCGTGGCCCAAGGTAAGGAGCCGGAGGACCAAGGGAGGTGGAGCTTGTTCTGCAGAAGGTGGGTGGTGCCACCGTGGTTTTCCGGTTCAGGAAGGAGGATTCTGTAGCCCTTTGCTTGTGAAAACCATGTGATGTTGGTGCTGCGAGGAGGCTCCAGGTCCATCTTCTCAGCTGACAGATGAGGCAGTTAAGCTCTGGCTGGGGAAGCTGCTCCTCAGGGTCGTGCAGGGGGTAACTCTGTGGGTTCGGACTCTCAGCTCCAGCCTTGGATGTGTTAACAAAGTTTATCTCTCAACCTTTTTTTCCACCTGAAGTTTCAGTACCTCCAACAGAGAGTCCAGCTGCCTGGTCTGAACATCACTCCTTTTCCCTGCCTTTATTCCCCCCAAGAATGTGAAATACTAGGTTATTTGACAAGAAAAGGGTAAAGGGAGGGGCCTGGGCTAATAACCAAGGGGGCTCTCTTAAAAAAAAATTCTAGATGTTTATTCCCCTAATAACATAGCCTTGATATTCATGAAGCAGGAAGCTAGAAATTTTGAAATCATTTACCGAGTCCAACTGCTTTCTCTCTCTTTCTTATTTTTTTATTTCCCTCCCTCCCTTTTTATTTCTTCCACTTCTTTATTCTTCTCTTTCTCCTCCTCTTTTCACAAATAAACCGAGGCCATAGGGGCAGTAATTATAGAGGAACACATCCAGTGAGAAAATCCAGGTCTTCAAACTTCTTACCCGGAACCCTTCCCTGTTCACTGCACTAGACCGAGCTTGGACAACCATTATCTTGGTACATTGACACCTCCTACAGGGGATGCATGGACAGACAGACCACTAGATGGGAAACAGACACTAGACAGGATTCCTCACAGCTTGACAGTTGATGGGCGTCAGCTAGCACAGAAGCCAAACAAAAGGTTGAAGAGACCCAAGAGCTCATTCATGTGGCAACAGGTAGCACTCCTGCCCCTCCTGCCAGCCCTGAAGGCTGTTTCGGTACCATGTAAAACCATGTGCTTACTGCTCAGCTTTAAACAGAGAGGAGTTGAGCAAAGAAGCCTGGGGCTGTTCTCGAACTTCAGAAACCCCAGCCCGTCCTGTGTAGTCAATAGGTACTCTCCTTCCCTGATCGCAGCAGCAAGTTGCCTTTCAATTTCAGTTACCATGGCAGCTGCATCAACTTGAAACTCCCCTGATAGATGTTTGTGTCAACTTTAATTATGTTTGCTTTTCCCAGGAAGTACTACATTTTTTCTCTCATGAAAAAGTTAAGCACCTCTTACCAGTTTTAAAATCAGTAGGTCAACCCAGTTAAAGATCACTTTTATTTTTATGTCAGATGAATGAATTCCACAGCTCTTTGCTCTCTGATTGCTCTAAATCCAAACACGCAGTAGAGGAAGGGGGGTTGCTTTGTAATGACTCCATGGTGCATATGTCCTTGTACTCAGAGTTCTTAACAAGAGACCTGAGTCATTCCATCATTTCTAAATGTCCTCATGGCAACAAGAAGAGAACATGGGGAGCAATATTTCAAATGCACATGTAGATGTCAAGTTGTAGAGGTTCAAGGGACTTTGAAATAGGAGTTGTGAAGGGCAGTGTCCAACGGCACACTGATAAGGTACCCGGAGCCAAGGCTGCCTGGGCAGAGCCTGTAGACACATGTGACCTCGAGGCAGCTGAACAGATTAAAAGGCAGCTGGGCTGGCCTTGCGTTATTCTTCTCTAGAGGCAAGAACTACTTTGGACTCACTCCAGACATTTCACTTAGGTCTTCCGTTTTGACAGTGGTACCAACTAGTGTCCCCTAGCATTAATAGATGGACAGACTCACCATGGAGAGTGATATGTCCTACACTTCTATCAATAAATACTTGAGAGTTAACTGAAGCCTCATACCAACACAACGATATGAAAGGAACGAGTAACTCCACACAGAAATTTCTAACTGTATCAAAGACTAGTTTAAAAAATTGTTTACATTTACTTACTTACCCTCAGACTATTAGAAATTTGCATGAACTCCACAGGTGCTTTGGAAAGATAGCAAAAATGGAGAAATGTGTTTTTTAAAATCAAGTGTAAAAGAGTAATAAAAGAGGAAAAATTGACTGCGTGGACTCACCAGTTGTAATCCCGTTCCCGAAAACCACTAGAATAGCCTTATTTTGGTGGGGCTGCTGAAGAGAGTAAGGGCCAGTGGGATGTCCTTAGATCCATCCTGTCCTGTCTTTAACCTGCCTCCTCTCACCAGCCCAGTGAGTCTGTGAGCACCGTGATGGCAGAAGACAAGTCATTAATCTTTATTTTCCCAGAACAATAAAGCATCTGTGCATAAGAATGACCGTAACGTACTGAGCTCTTATTCTGGGGTAGGTGCTCTTCTAAGGAACAAATGACCTTCACGTGTTTACTCATGAACATATGTGTATTCATTGAATTCTCACAAGCAGCCAATTAAGTGAGTGTTTTGTTATCCCCATGTTATAGGTAAGGAACATGAGCCACAGTAGATAGAAAGCCACAGAACGAGGGTAGGGTGCAGGCATCAGACCCTGAGCCCCCGCTCAGGGAGCAGGTGCCTCTTCTCTCAGCTCTGGAGCAGGGACCCTGCTTTCCACGGGGCAGAAGGGTTACTGATGTTGGCTTTGTTCGCCGGGACCTGTGAAGATGAAGTCATTCATGCAGTTGAAGCCAATACTTCCTGCTCTGCCACTTAACAGGTTATGGCTCTCTTGGCATGATGACCAGCGTGCTGGTTTGTCCAGATGGCAAGACAGTAGAAGCAGAGGCTGCCCATGGGACTGTAACACGTCACTACCGCATGTACCAGAAGGGACAGGAGACGTCTACCAATCCCATTGGTAAGATAGTGTTTAGCTGCTACACTGATTTCCAGTCAGAGTGGAGTCCTCAAAAAAGGACTCAGGTATGTTCCTTTGGCTACCATATGCTTTCTATGTAAAATTACCAGCAAACAGCTGCTTTGTTCCACTTATAAGAGCTGTTTCCACTAATAAGAGCTCTTAAAATATATTTGCAATATATGCTTTTCCATTGAGTTGGGACAATACCCATTACAGAAAAGATTGGTAACGACAGGCGTTTTCCTTTTCCTTTGGTGTAGTGAAATGTCACATACTGCTAAGAATCTAAAAGCCACACGAATAGATCCTTCTAACCTGGCCTCAAGGGTAGCACATTAAAGAGAGATTACAGGCTGAAAAGAGGAGAGGAGACCAATATAGACAAGCGACAGAAAAGTTGCGATGTTTTGCAGATTAGTAAATGTCTTAAGCTTCGAGAGCTTCCACACCATGAAAATGTGCTTCCTTAAAGCTGTAACAAAACCCAAAACATTCCTTCTACAAAAATGCAGATTTTTGAAAGTTTTACTGTTCAGTAAAATATTTCCAACTCTCCTAAAATTTAGAGGGCATGTAGATAGTATCTAATGAAGTCAGTCACCTAAATAAAAAATCTTCTATTTGGGGGGAACATTTGGGAATATGTCTCGCTGGTATGATTGAAGTGTGTGTGCTTGTTTTTTCCATCCCCCACGCCTCTCTCTTTCAGCTTCCATTTTTGCCTGGACCAGAGGGTTAGCCCACAGAGCGAAGCTTGATAACAACAAAGAGCTCGGCTTCTTTGCAAAGGCTTTGGAAGAAGTCTGCATTGAGACCATTGAGGCTGGCTTCATGACCAAGGACTTGGCTGCTTGTATTAAAGGTTTACCCAAGTAAGTATAAGAGGCTGTGAGTTCTGTGGTCAAATTACCACTTAACCTCACTGGGCTCAAAACATCAGTGCTTTTTGGAAATATATGAATTGTTATTCATCATCTAGGTCAGGGGTCAGCAGCAGACACGATCTATAAATCGTCAAAAAATAAACACTTCAGGCTCTGTGTAATATACAGCCTTTTCAAAACTAAGCAGGCGTTGGACTTTGTCTCCGTGGCATGAAAGCTGTTGTAGATGATTAGCTTCTAGCCGGTGGGTGTGGCAGCATTTCGGTCAAACTGTGTACCAGACTAGGCTGCAGCCTGGACTGGGTCCATGGGCCAGATTGTGTAGCCTGCTGACCTCTGATCCAGTGGACAGTCATTGGGTGACAGGGTTCCATTTAATTTAACAAGAAAATTATAGACAGAAGCAAACGGGCCCCCAAGGCTGTTTTATTCCACTCCTCTATTTTTTTCAGTTTACAGATAAGAAAAGTAAGCAGCACAGGTGTGAGATGCCAAGTCGGTCATAGTCCCTGCCTTAAGTATCTAGCCAGCAGTCAGATAGTTAAGGAGCTGCACTCAGTGCCCAGGGTATTTCCAAGGACATGGTAAACCATATCCCAGCTGGATGAGTTGCAAAACAGAGATTCCGTCCTCAAAGTCAGTTGTTTACTCTTACTCACCTGCAGAAACACCACTAAAGTTTAACACCAATCCTGTGTCCCCACTGTGCGTCTTTGCAGATCTCAGTTAGGGTCAGTATACCCCAGGATGTTCTAAATCACTGCATTTTTCTGATCTTAATCTTCCAGCAAAAAATAGTGTCCTTAGTGGTATGGTGCCTTTGTAGCCTATTTGAATAGGCACCTACCAGCAGGATTATGTTAGCTAGTCCATTGTCTTTTTGTTTTTAAGTGAAACACTGGTAGAAATAAGAGCACTTAAAAAAATGTCAAGGACATGTGACAGCTTGTGTGGATGTGGGTAAAAGCACGGCATACCCAGCATAGGTTTTGTCTCTTTGTAAGAAGGAGGAGTGAGAAGCGGGGTGGCGTGGCAGGACCCTGCCATGAGTGTGTATGTGTGTGGTCCAGACTGCAGCTGCCTGTAGCTTGGGTCAGCCCCTTGAACCTGAGCACAGTCCTCAGCCCCAGACCAGTAGCTGGTTAACATGAATTCGTTTTCTTCTAGAAGTAAATAGGCTGCTACTTTGGGCAGCACTTCTAGGACATTTTTCCTGCCTTCTACAAATCAGAGCGAACTAACTGTCTTCCTTTCTCTTCCTCTGTCAGCGTGCAGCGTTCTGACTACTTGAATACATTCGAGTTCATGGACAAACTCGGAGAAAATTTGAAGATAAAACTAGCTCAGGCCAAACTTTAAGGTCATTCCTCGGCTTACAGGGACAAGTGTTTTTTGGTAACTAGGTCCACGGGTTTACATTTTTCTGTATAACACTCAAGGGAAGGACGAAATCAATTTTGTAATTGTTTGGAAGTCAGAGTTTATCTTTTCTATAAGTTTACAGCCTTTGTCTTGTACGTACACGTATGACACCTCAAAAATGCGGCCAGGGACTTTTTAAATTTAAATTTCATTTTGTACTAGTAGCTTAGGAGTTACTTCAGTGCTGATTCATAGTCACGGACAATTTTTCTCATGTTCCGATCTAAATGACCAAAATGAAGAGTGCTTGAAAGGTAAACTACAGCCAGGGTTTTGGTCCCTGAAAGTGCGTAAAGTAGAATTCACTTCCTTCCCCACTTGCCACGGCCTGGGCCCTGGGTGCTGTGGGTGCGACAGGTGTCCCACCGTGTGAGGTACAGGTGCACCTTGAACTTGCACAAGAATTGGAACGAAGAGCATGGGGACAACTAAAACACGTCGGAGACGCAGCTGTCGTTTGTGTCAAGAGCTCTAACTGAACGTTTCGAAATGTCAGATATTTTTGAGGCCACTGGAGAGTTTGGAGTCCAGAATAAATACTACCTGCGGGTTTGTCCTCTGTTTGTCCTCCCCTGCTGGTCTTCCGACGTGGCCTAAGTAGTATCATATCCTGGACAGCATGTTTTATTCAAGTGCAATAATACAAGCTGCACCTTTTTGGGACTTCTGGCCTGTTTTACTTCCTTTATATAAATGTGATTTTTCAGAAGTTGATTGTAAACACTATTCTAGTCTGTTCTTCCTTGAAACTATTCACTGTAATTAAAATTAAGTACTAATGACTAATCCGAGCTTTATTTCTGCAGCGTATGTACATTGGTTGCCAGGCACCATGCCAGGTTCCAGCCGTAGGAATTTGATTTTGAAAAATCTCAGCTCTCAGAGAGTTTACTGTGGGGAAAATGGGTGACTAAATAGTAAGATGTGGATCCAACAGTGAAAAAGAAAGGAGACCAAAGATAGAACAAAATGGGCAACTGTGGAATATTAGGGAATTGAGTCTGGGTGCATGCTAAGGACTTGAGGTGTTTTATGTAAGTTAATAGGGAGCCCATGAAGGCTTAAGAAGGGAGGGGCATGATCATATTTTCATTTTAAGAAATAGCAGTGGACAGCTGTTATGAAGAATGAATAGCAGTGGAGGGAGGGAGACAGGAGTGGTGGGCACAGTCGAGTAAGGAAGACCAGGCAGGCAGCTATTGTAGTAATTCAGGCAGGAAATCATGAAGATCTGAACTGAACTCCCAGTGACACTGAGGATGGAGAGAATGGTCCTCAGCAAAGAAAGTTGAATTAATGGGGATTGGTGCATCCCAAGTGATGTGGGGATTCAGGAAAGGGGACAACTCAGGTTTCCAGCTGCACACCTGGAGAACAGCTGGTCCACCACCCGGCAGCATCAAGGTACTGATTAAGGGGAAGCAAACAGGCCTTGAGAGGAGGTCTGAGCAAGTTACTCAGTACATCAGCGACTGTTTTGGTCTAGAACCCAGGGACCCTTATAGCTGTGCAAGGGCTCTTTACACTATACCTGCATGCTTTCAGGCTTAAATGGAAGAAGCAAGCTTCACATGGAGTAAAATGACGGCATTGGATTGGATGATCTTAAGTAGGCCCTTTATCACTCACAAATATCCTGGGAGCCAATCAGATGCATTTTTGTGGCAGCAAAAGCCCTGCTCCAGTATGAGATTCAGCGTTTGTCCAACAACCAGTGTTGTAAAATAATCAGCACAGGAGCTGCTGCTGACCAATGCATTCAGAGACTAATGGTTTATTTTGTAACAGCATCAGGATCAGGATTGTTGACCCAGAAAGTGACTACAGCGTAGCATGATCCTGAGGAGAGGGGTCCTGGGACAGGCGGAGAGGCAGAGATGTCTAGACTTTAAGATTACCTAAACTGCAAGCACTGTTCTTTAAGTGGAATTTTTAACAAAATACTTCAAATTTAAACTTCACAGTTAGAATCACAGCTACCCCGTATTCTTGCCTGATATATACAGTCTTCCTGAGATGCTCCTGAGAAATGATTTCCCATTCTCAATTTGAATCTTTGTGTAACAAAAATTTTCCCCAAAATAAAGGTCTTGTCTCTTCCTATTAAAAAGGAAGCTATTATATTAGCTTCGTATTAGAAGCTAATATAAAAATATTAAGGAAGGCTATATAAGTACTGATTTAAAAATTGGACTTTTATCACCTCTCTGTTAGAGGTTTTATTTCATAGTCCCTATCTTTAATATTAGGGAGAATGCAGCATCCAAATTGCTAATTCTTCTGGAACAAGAAACTTGAACAACTGAATTTGGATGGTATCTCAGACTCAAAGAGGTGGATTTTGCAAACATTGTAGCATAGTCTAACATTTAATTTGGATATTTCAAATTTGCAGGAAAATTGTAAAAATAATATGAAGAAATTCTTTATAAATTCTTGACATTTACATCATTTGTTGTATCATTTTCTGTCCTCTCTTCACACACACATGCAGCCTTTTTTCCCTGAACCACTTTAAAATAATTTGAAGACATTGTGCCTTTTACCCTAAATAATCCATTCTTTTATGTAACTAATACCATGATCAAAGTAAGGAAATTTAACTGAGACTACAATGACTACTCCAATCATCTCCTTTACAGTTTCACCTCCAAGATCCAACCCAGGATCGTACATTGCATGTAGTTGTCATTTCCCTTAAGTCTCATTTTGTCTGAGACAGTCCCCAAGTCTTTCTTTGTCTTACTGGAGTCAGACGTTGACATGTTTGAAGGGTACAGGCTAGTTATTTTGTAGAAAGTCCTTCAACTCCAAGTTTGTCTGATGTTTCCTTGCAATTAGATTTCAAGTTCTGCGTTTTGGGCAGAAATGCTTATCTGAAGTGATACAGTGTCCTCCTCAGTGTATAGTATTGGGGAGATGAAAGAACCTAGTGATAGTTTGTCTCAATGCCAGTGAAGTCAGCTTTTCTCAGTTGGTTACGGTGGTAGCTGCCTCATTTCACTGTGAATTCACTGTTTTCCCCTTTGCAAACAGAAGTAACATGTAGGGAGATGCTGTATAATACATTGTCATCAAAATTCATAGTTTTAGCATCAATTGATGACTAAAAATCTATCATATCTTCTATAGTTATTATATACATTTTAAATGTATTACATTTTTCATCATCACTCAAGGTCATGTTTATTGATTTTTAGAGAGAAAGAAACATCAATTGGTTGCCTCCTATATGTGCCCCAACTGGGGGTCGAATCCACAACCTAGTTATGTATCCTGACTGGAAATCAAACCGACCACTTTTTGATGTAGGGGACAGTGCTTCAACTAGCTGAGCCACCTGCCAGGACTAAATATATTACATATTTATAGTCTCCTGTAGAGAACAACTTTCCTGTCTGCATTTATTTATTCATTCACATTAGTATGGATTCAAGGAGTTTTGCTTGCTTCAATGGGTTTTACTGTCCTGTATATGGATGCTCTAATTGACTCACATTCAGCCAGTGAGAAACCATTAAGTTGGGTCCAGTCAGCATTATGACGTGAGTATTTTGCAAACAGTTAATTGGGTAAAGAAAGATACTATCTTGTGTATTAGGCCTCAGTCTTTCTTTTCTACCAATAGAATGAATTTCTCCTTGCCTTTCCAGATTAGATTACCCACCTCCCCCACCCCACCCCACCCCGATGCCCAAGTGGCTCAGCAGAAAGTGTTGAAAGACCACCATAAGAGACTGGAGACTTATTTAACAACTTAATGCTGGCATTGAATGACAGATCTGAGAAGGAAATGAAGCTACTAGAGTGCTAGGATCACTAGTTACTGATCCTTTGGAGAGATGAACATACTTTTGGTTTTGTATGGTTTACTGTATCCACTGTATTTTACAATAATAAGGTTAAAAATTTATTAGGTAATCTGTTTTGAATTTCAGAGATCCCCATTTTCCTGGATCAAATTCAAAGACTTTCTCTCCAGTGTTGCCTGACCTTCCAGCCAAAGCCTTTTCATTGTCTTTAACCTTTTCAGATATAACTGAGAAAGTGTCCCTGTAAAATGCCCCTGTAATTTTACCAGGATTATACACAAAGAATTATGAGTACAGGTGCTTGGGGGGCTTTAGGTGGCTTTTGGGACCTTCCTTCTCTTACTTGATGAATCTATGACACTTTATTCTTAGGAGTATTTGGTTTTAAATCTTTCATTTGATTTCTCCATGGGAATAATCCTTTTCCTAGTTGGCCTTGCTTTGTTTTGCCTTGTGCATTATTTATATGTTCAGAAACTAAGCTTCAAGATATTTTTCTGCCCTGGCTGGTATAGCTCAGTGGATTGAGCACCATACTGGGAACTAAATGTTGCCTGTTCAATTCCCAGTCAGGGCACTTGCCTGGGTTGCAGGCCAGGTTCCCAGTAGGGGGCAAATGAAAAGCAACCACACACTGATGTTTCTCTTCCTTTCTCCCTCCCTTCCCCTCTCTCCAAAAATAAATAAATAAAATCTTTTTTAAAAGATATTTTTCTAACTGAATCACATTTTCCTATTTTCTCTTTCTTTTTTTACCATTTTCATTTTTTTAAGAGACAGAAACCTCAATTTGTTGTTCCATTTATTTATACATTCATTGGTTGATTTCTTGTATGTTGGATCAGGGATCAAACTCTCAACCTTGACATACCGGGGCGATGCTCTAACCAATTGAGCTACCCAGACAGGGCATATTTTTCTATTTTCAAGTCAAAAAATTTTTCTCCTACCTTTTTTCTACTTCAGGAGCTTTTCAGGTATTTCCTACAAGGAAATTTGATACCTAAAATTTGATTCTGCAAATTTCCCAAGTAAAATGTTTAAACTATATGATAGAAACTAAAAACTTTGGCTCCGAATTTTTATTCTAATGTTCTAGAGCTGCTCTTACCTATTTAAAATTTTCCATATTTTCTGGTTACCATTACTCCACTTCGTAGATTACTCAATTAGTTTTTGTTTTCAAACATGTTTCTATTTTTCTTGTTTGAGATAGCCTGCATGTTGATGACTTGTTTTTTCCTACAAATTAATGACCACACCTTGTACTATTCCATGAAGACTTGCAACTTGGAACTTGCCCAAAACTTTTAATCTGGTTGTTTCCATCTGGATCACATTCTTTACATGAGAGGCTTTAAAATTTTTTTCTTATATCTTTGAGCACATTTCACCCAATTAATAAACTTGAGCATGTCCTCTCATCCTGACTCTCTCTGGGGACTCGGTGCTCCATAAGACCCACAACCTATAGAAGCGGGTCCTTCTCTTACAAGTCAGCTACACTGGGTGCTTGCATTGTACCAGCGCCAGAAGTGAGACAGCTTGGGTTTGAGTCACTGGGGCTTTTACAGTGTTCTGTAAGAGTCTTTCCTGTTATAGTAGAAACGCCTTTCAGAATTTCTTTGGAGTTAACTTGGGTCTTATTTTTAATGAACACATTATTCAAATGTCTTACAGCTATGGAGAGAGAAGCAACATCTTTATCTGTACAGTCAGTGTTTTAATTCTTGCCCTTTTGCACAGTTGTGACTAACTCACTGGCTCAGTGATATGTGTTCCATGTCCTTAGGGAATTACTGGAAAAGTATCGGGTCTGATCCGATTGCTTTACAAACTCCCAGCTGAGCACAGGAGATTTAAGATACATCCAAGGATGAAATTTTTGTACTCACATGTTTATTCCTAGTCCAATTCTCTGCTTCAAGAAGTAGTTTGAGTTCACACCTTTCTTTTTCTCCAGCAATAGA